ATTTCGTACCATTCGTTATAACAGTACATTATATTTTCTTTAGATAACTGTCAGCCCTTCTGCAAGATTTATATTGAGTTTTATTCTTTCAGAAACTACATTTTTAAGCGAATTCAGGAAAACTATTTGTTTGAACTGTTTAATATTTCAACTAAATAACCTCGCAAAACTTAATTCTCATTTCGGTTAACTTAAACGTTTCAAATTTATGTGTACAATATTTTAGCGAAATGTTTCCCTTTAGAACAGTTAAAAAAATGAGTGTTTCACTCCAATGTGTCTAAAACATTTTGTCACATTGCTCTTTAGAAACAAAAAGTATTGCTTTATTAAGTTGTGTTTTGCTTTCAGGGAATAAATGTTTCCATTTTAAATATTTATACAGTAACTATCTTCTAAAAATAATCTTTTATTATTTATATTTTCCTGTTGTTGCCTTATAAAATATTTTAGAGATATTCTTTTTAGTGAAAACAAGCCCCATGATGGTTTTTCGTTTTCTTGTTTGAATCTAGAATAAATAAATGCAGGTCATGTTTCTAACAAAAATGTAAATGAACATTTTGAAATAACTGAACGTGCCAAAGTTTTTGAGAAATCTCCAGAGGTAAATAATTTTACTACTGCTTCAAATACGATACCCTTATTGTTGTTACTTATTTTACTTGCTAAAACCAGAAAGCCTTCATGAAATCGAGCAAATTTTTAAGGTAAATTCAAATTTTAATTCAAAACCTCTACTTTGTTTATAGATAGATAGAGCTTAAAGTTTAATATCACAATTTGGGAGTAAATAAGCCAAAATGGAAACTAAAAAGAATTTCAAGATAAAACGTTATCTAGAAAAAATTAAGGAGGATAATGTGGAAACAAACAATATGAAGAATAAAAGCCTTAAGGAATTCTTTGTATAATATATATTCGTATATTCAGAATAGTATAAATTTATAATTATGCTAATATACTAATATATTAGTGTAATTATTAAGCTGTATTATATTACAGAGAAAGAAAGATAAGGCAAATTCTGTGAAAGACTCGGAACAGGTGTGAAAGCGAGATGGAAAAAAAGAGAAAGGCTGATAGTAAAACCATTTCAGTTATTGCTAGTTTTCTGGAGGATTTTACTTATTCTTTTTTTTAAACTACTTTATCTTAGAAAAGAAGCTGCTTTATATGTATGCTAAACTTATAAAAGAAATCATGATAGTTACAGCTGTCTTATTTTTCTCGATAAAAATACTAGAATGAAATGTCTTTCGTACCAGTTTTTGCTCTTTTCCGTCTTGCTATAAAAGGGCTTTCAGCCAGAAGAAAGACTTCTGTGAAAAGATCCGGTGAAAGACTTTTGAATTTTATTCTATGATTAACCGAAACAATATAACAGAAATATAACTAATTTAACAGATGTGCTTTATATTATGTTAAATAGCAAACTACGATAAAACCTCACGCAGAGGATACTCACTAAGGAAACCTCACACTAAGGAAAACGGAAGCCTCATATTACGAACAATGTTTCTAATTTTCTGTGAATCTAGCCATCAAGGTATTCATGCAAATCAATCATTTATTCAGACTGTTGACAAATGAATGATTCTGAATTCGACACCTCCATAGGGCCTGGTGCTTTACAGGTAGGTTTTGTTATTATCTTTTTTTTTACCGTTCATCACCTTCAAATCTTACCTTAAAGGAGGTATTGCCGTGTTTCCCATTAAGTGATGGGGGTGTGTTAGGAGTTGTGAAACGTAGAAATTAATGGCCTACAAGCTTCTTTGTGGATAATTGCAGTTTGGAAAAAAGTAAAATTCTCAACCCTTTTAAATTGTTTCACTTAGGTAGACCTTACAAAGGATACAACACTAGGTAGCAATCTCTTTGCAGATGCAGATGACGCAAATTCTGAGAATCCCGTTTCCGAATGCATAAATTTGATTGGAGAAAATGTTATCAACGGTAATTAAACGTAGACGAGAATACTGAGTGTCAAACGAATGATTTAACTATGGATTAAACAGAATGATGCTGAATTGATACTTTATGAAAATAAAATGAAACTGATACTCAATTGATGCTCTATGAAATCAATTGATGCTCACCAAAAGTAAAAACTTGAATTAAAATGAAAAGTAAAAACTTGTATTGAGGATCTGAGACATTTTTATGTATACGAAAATTGTAAAATTGGTTTAAAAATATTAAATGATTTAAAAATGTATCATGAAGATACGATTAGTCGCAACAGCTTAAAATAAACTTTTATCACATCTTTCTTTCCAATTGTTTAAATATAAAACAAAGGAATGTACACACATCTAATTTCTTCGTTTATTCATTTAATTGTAGAAAATATAATTTTGTTAAATTCAAATAAATAATGTTATTGAATTATTAATTATTAATTATTAATTATTAAGACAAGTTTTTGATTGGAAGCCTCAGGGCAATAGGGAAAGAGGTAGACCTAAAAATACTTAGTGTAGGACGATTGTTAACGAATTGAAAACTATAAGAAAGACATGGAGGGAGGCAAGATATTTGCCCACAAGTAGATCGAGATGGAAAGCTATGATAGAAGCTCTATGCTCCTATTCAGAGTAAAAAGAAATATGTATGTAATTATTTCTTTATCCTCGCAATTATTCTAAAAACTACTCATGGCGTTAGTCTTCGTTCTTAGTTTACCTTTTACGTAAGCGAAAAATTTTTTTTGTCCACTTTACCGAGGTTTCACTTTACAGAGATCTTATAGGGTAGTTAGTTCATGGTCCCTTTACTAAACGTATACACTAGCAAGATGTCTAGATATGAGTACAGTCATATTACTAGTAAACAATTTTTTTATACAGCATTTTATTAAAAAAAGTAATTCTAAAAGTAAAAACTTAATCGCAGCAACCAGGCATATATTTGAAATATATTTGAGTTAATATAATTTAACTGAAATATAATTTAAATTTTAAATGTTATCCAGAAATGTTATCCAGATCATATTTAAATTTTGGTACTATTTTCAAAATCAATTTTTCCGAATATCTAAAATCTATAATCCTGAACGAGTTCTGTTCATACAGTACGTTGCGATTCAAAATAAATTAGTATGCCAATACCATACAATTCAAAAGAAATTGGAATTTAGAACAAAGTAAGGTTTTCCTTCCAATGCATCGAGAGAATAGTATTTTCTTTTTTAAAAAGTAAGTTAATTTTGAGTTTGAAAGAAACTACTAATTCCTTTTTTACATCGAAATTCAGCTTCTAATCTTTAAACATAAAAAAAGACGTCTCAGGAAGAAATGAGTGAGTTTTCTTTTGTCATGTTTCCTGAACCGTTCATCATTTTTTTTAAAACTGAATCTTTTTCTTTTCTTTCTTCGAATAACTTTCAACATTCTTTTTCGGAAATGAAGATAAGAAATCAATTTTTTTTTCTATTTCTTAGAGACTTCATCCATTTATTTGCGTTACACAAGGTTGACCGAACTTAAATTATAACTTGTGTATTATTATGTGTCATTTTTAGAAATGCCATTGTAATAGCAAGGAAATGAATTTATTATACTAGTACTTGTTTGCTGTTAATTTCACGATGTGAAATATCACAATAGATAACTTAAATTACAATTTTAAAATGGAACTTTTTTTTTAAGTTTCATTACTCTGAAACTGTTCAACCGATTACGCTCAAACTCGGTACTCTGTTATGAAAATACATGGATTAAAATGATGTAAAAATTTGTGCATCGTACAACTCAATTTTTTTCCCGACTGATTATAAATAAAATTGAAAAGAAATAAATGATTGCTAAAAATCATATTTCACTTGCATAAATAAGTTTTATAAATATGTCTCCATAAGTTTAAAGCCTCAGTTTATCTGTCTTACGCTTGAAGCAAAACTATAATTTAAACTATATGTGCCACTTTGCCTGAAAAATGATCTGGGCTTTAGAATGAACAAATAATTTAAACATTTTAAAAGATATTAATTTTTTAACCTTTTTTATTTTAAAGGATATTAACTTTTTAAACTTGACTTAATAGTCATACGTGACAGTTGCAAACTCATAGCAGCTGTAAAAATTATATAATATTCGGGAAAAAAAACATCATTTAGTGCATAGATAAAACTTTCGTAAAATAGCCTTAAAAATCTCCTTAGATATGACGAAATAAATAAATCGTGAGTTCAAAATTTAGGGGTTCAAACTTTCAATCATTCTCAGTTCAAACAATTAGGATCATATTTTCCAAATTGTGGTTCAATATCTACCAATGCTAGTTCAATATCTACCAATCACTAATACCAATAATGTGGTCTCAAGTGATCAATCTAATATTTTGAAAAATCGCCAGTTTTCTCAATTTGTTAAAAAAAAATCAACTCATTTTCTGAATCCAAATATTTGGAGCAAAAATGGGTTATTTTAGTATAGGTCTTATAATACGTAAAAAAAATATTCGAGAATTTTGAAAAAAATAAGCAAGAGAAAAAACTAGTTATGTTTTGCAAGGAGTTAAAATCAAGAATTAAACATGTAATTAACCGCTAAGAATTTTGTCAAGAGGCAATTTTTGAAATGAAAACTATGATAAAAGAAATGTTTCTAAGATTAAATATTTTATAAAATAACTAGCTATAAAATAACTGGGGGGATGTCAATTTTTGAGATAAAAAAGAATTGAGAAGGGGCTATTAATGGATCCAAATTTTTCTAAACCAATCAAAACCATTTCTAGACGTTTTAACCAAAAAAACTATTCAAATTATAACAAAATGGAGAAATAAAAAAGGAAAATGTCAAATGGTGAGAGACAATTAAGGAAGATAATTGAAAATAACTTTGACGAACAAATACTTTTCACACAAAGATTTGATGCATATCATTAAATTCCAAATAAGAATTACCTGATATGAAAAAAAAGCTAAAAGCTGGTACTCCAAATTTATGCATCAATAATAAAATAGAAAATGAAAAATAGTAACTGTAACCTACCTGCTCTAACATGGACATTTCGACTCGCAATAGCACCAAAGCTGTTGGAAGCGATGCATCTATAAATTACTGAATGAATGTCAGGACGATATTCATCTGGTGTGAAGGGGGAAAACACTAGAGCACCATCCCTTCGAACATGACGAATTCCTGGTATATCTTGAACCACCTCGTTTTCGTTTTTAGTCCATGTGATGGCAGGTGCAGGGTTACCACTAGCAGTACAAGGAATCACGGTCCCACTTGAGTTTGAAAATTCAGATATATGTGGTGGCTCTGTTGTGAATGTAGGGCCATTTAACTTGAAGCACAAGGAAATACCTGTAAAAGACAAAGCCATTTTAAAAATTGGAAATAGTGCACAAAAGCACCGTGATAAAACATTTCTCTAACCGTAAACCAAACTACAAAAATAAATGTTTTTAATGTAAAAAAATACACTTTACTGGTACTATTACTGTAGCTCATGCAAAACTAAATGTGCAAAAATGTTAAAAATAAATAAAAACGAGAAAACAAATAGAGGCGACTACATTCTAAAAAATACGCTATAACCTACCGGCATTTTAAGAGCAACATCAGTGAAATCCATTTTTACCGTAAAATATTATACCGTAATCCTTATAGCAATATTTATTTAATTAGAGTGAATCAGTGATTTTACGGTAATTATTGCTTTGAAAATTATTGAGCTGTTTATCAGATTTTTGTTCCGTAACATGCTCCAGTAAAAATAGACTTTGCTGTAAAAAGTACCACGGTACTTTTACAGTAATTTAATCAGGAATTTTTCGCAGTGTACGCTATCTTCACAAAAAAGTATTTTCCATATTACTTTTTTGATGGACTCAAAAATTTATAAAAAAATAAGTAACTGGAAAATATCTTGATAAGTTTTGATCAACTTATTGATTTCGAATGTAAAATTTGATTATTTAAAATAGTGTCTAAATTTGTGTATATTGAAACTCAAAAGTATTTCTAATGATAATTAATAAAAAAGTAATTTTAGAAATTACTAATTTAATTACCTTATTTTTCGTTCAATTACAATTAAAACCACTTTCTTGACTAAATTACTGTAAAAGTATATTTAATATTGATATTGGCCTTAATTTCATTATGAATTCTTTACATTGTTCAGCAACTTAAGTTAGGGTACTTCAAAATTATTTAAACATAAAGTCCTAATTTAACTTTGAAATAACAAGTGATTACGATCCATCTATATCTCAATAAATGCCTCTGAACCAGGTAATAATACTTGGTGTGGTGCCTTTTGCACAACATAAAAATAATAGAATCAATTGAATAAAGATGGAATATGAAAACGAATAATAATAATAGAAAAAATAATCAGTGACCTAATTTTAATATATTTTTTTTATTCCGGTCGCAGCTCAAAATGAAAGTTCTGGAAAATGGGGACACCAAAAAATGCACCATCTCAATGTTCAACTGAAATTTTACAATCAAATGAGGAATTCTGCTCTCACCATTCCATACTTTTTGAACACTAAGAATAATAATTAAGAGAGAAAATCAAAGTCTCGGTTTAGCGCCGGGTTAGCCATGAGAGACCACTTTCGTAGTTTTCCTCAAGATGTAACTCAAATGCGGATTAGTTCCATTTAAAAAATCCTCCTGAGAAGGCTAGTTTGCCCCATGTTCGATACATGAGTTTTCTGGTCTTCTGGGTGGGGTTCAAAATGACAAGGTGACGAAGTTAAACAGTGATAGTCGTTGAGCTTCTCCACGCCGGTTATAAAATAAGATTAAATTTAATACAATTATTATAAATAAGGCCCATTACAACCTTATGAAAAAAACTGTTAACTTTCAAAAGGAAATTTAAAAATAAACAAAATTGATGCGAAGTCATTTCGGAGAATGATATCATACAGAGCATTTATTTGAATTCAGTTTTATATTCTTCAACAAAAAAAAATGGACAATATTTTGAATATAAGATTGAAAAAATAGAACTAAATGCTATGTCCGTTTTCTTAAACACACATTTTGAGCTGCACCCAGAATGAAAATCTCACCTACTATATACTCTATATATTCCGTAGACTGTACATTAGCTCAAAATTGACAGATAAACTGATAGGAATCAAATAACCATAACCTTAGACGGTTGTGTACTTGAAAGAGACTGATACTCACGCATTTGGCATTACTTGACATGTTTCCGTACTATATGCAAACTTCGTTCACGTCTTTCATTTGACGATTTCGATCACTGAACTGACAGCTACATGACACTGATGGCAACAGTGACGTAGTAATACGGGGGAAAAAGATTTACCAAAATTTGAAATTTCCATGAGGTCACTTTTAGTAGAAATAAAATTTAGGCATTTTGTAGGATATTTTTTTTCATCCCATCGTTAATAAAATAGAAGATTTATTTTATTGCGCTGTAATTGGAAGTTAAGACATAATTTTAATGCTGATAAATTAAAAAAAAAAGTTAAGTAAATTTAGATCTAATATTGAGTTCCATGTTGCAAGAAATCAAAGTAAAGAAATCAAACAGTGTCACAAACTCAGTATAATAAAGGAGAGAATATAAGATTACAAGGGTACCTCATAGGTACAATATAGTGAATAGAAAGAAAAAAAGAAAATCTCATGAGTTTCATAAGCATTTTGATGCAAACACTAAGATTGGAAGAAAAAAATTCTGTTAAAATTTCCGTACTGTATGGACAAGACATGTTTGGTTAAAAAAAATGGTAATAAAACTAAGACAAACATTATTTAAACCATTCATTTGATATTTTTCCCGTTCACGTGGTGACGCGGTTTATCGGAAATTCGGGTTCTCAATTTGGGTCTTATTACCTCACATCTGAAAATAGTTTTAAAAAAAATTAAATTTTAATTTAATCGAATAAATCGTTTTAATGTCATGCTCTAAGGTTTCATGATAAAATAACCAAATTTTATCACATATTATAAAATTATATCTTATTGGTAATTTTACCAAAAATTACCAAAGCTCTTCGGTGAAAAATATCGAGCTTTTAAGTGTTCCCTTAGAGCCAAAAACACGGTATATTCTGGTAGTTTTGACTATACTTTTGTTCTGGAGAGGAAAAGGCAGTGAAGTCTATCATAGAACATATCAGTAAAATTCGACGTGGTTGGTAAAATACTGTTTTTTTCCGTGTAACGAGTGTTTTTTTAATAATTATTTTTTTAATCTTTTAAATAATAAGCGCTGAAAAAAATCCTGGTTAGGTATAAAAATTTTTACAGCATTTTAAACCATCTAGTTTTAAATGACAAATTTGAATGAAATCGATCGAATAATTTCTGAATTATAATTTTAAAAAAACAACAACAAATTTTAAAGCTATTTAGTTCTTAAGAGCTATTTGACCAATTTCATCCAAAGTTTGCAATTTGTCATTCAAAATCACATAATTTTGATTTTGACCAAAAATTTATTTTGATTTGACCAAACATTTTTCAACCATTAAAAATAATTGAAGAAAACAATTAATTATCATTAAAATAATGTTTTTCCATAGAGAAATCTTTGGATAAAATAATTTTATAATTGTGAGCAAAACTTTTCTGATTCGCTTGAAAGCGTTTCGTTATATTATGAAATTCACGAAAAGGGAAACTTTTGACCGAAATCTTGGAAAACTCTTCTGAATAAAATACATATTATACAGCTTCCAGATTGAAGCTACCACTTATAAAACAATATTTTAATAGCCAAAAATACAAAGACTTTAAAAAATACTATTTAATGAGAGAATGAATGCTCTGTTTCATTCCATGACTTAGTAATTGACGTGATTCAATTATTTTAACATATTTGAAGTCACTTTTTTGAACCTAAAAGTTTAGCACTGGGATCGAAAATATCTGATCATTAGAGCTAAAGCAATACATGATTGTTTTTCTTTCATTTCGCTAAATGTACCCTCAAGTGATGAGATAATGGTTTAAAATCTTTAAAGTTTTTGAATCCTGCTCAGATGTTATTTTTCAATTTATTTTTCCAGCTTTAAATTACTTTCCGACAATTTGTTTTTTATAAATACTTTACTCTTTATTTTTTATAAGTACTTTACTCTTTACTATAATTACTTCACTTTCTTATAAATACTTTGTTATAAAAGTATTTTTCATAATACTTTTATAAGTACTTTAAAAACTCCCAATCTCTATATCGAGAATAACATTTTACAGAATATAAAGATTAAAGTTTTATGTTATAATAAAAGCGTTTGAACAAATTTTTAAAAGATGCATTTAATTTCTAATTAAATGTTTTTAATGGCATAATTTTTAAAGAGTAGTAATAAATTTTAAATTATAAATAAATTTGAATACATGTGTGAAATCCCGATGAAAAACGCATACGATGCATAATGTAACAAGTTTTTCTTCAAAAATGGAAAACTATGTACCAGATATACGTACGTTCATTCTTTTAAGAATTCTCAACGAAATAACATTTTTTTTTTGCTGAAATGTAATAAATCTAAGAAATGTTTATAAATATTTTCGCCATGAGAGTTTTCTTAATAGTATGTTCTAAAATATTGATTTCATCAATTCTTTTTAAATTAACTGATTGTTTTTTTAATTGAAACAAACCTTTTAAAAATTTATCAAAACTCAATAAATCTTAAAAATAATGAAAAAAACTGTGCACATTTTCAAAATAATGGACATACATTGTTAAAGACGGTCGCTAATAACTTTCCAGTTTTATATAAATGTTTTTTTAAAGCAAAATAAGGTAAATAGTTAGGAATAATAAAGTTTAAAATATTTTTAATAGTTAATGTAGTATACAAAAAGAGTTATGGTTTATACTTATAGAGGGTTTCCACGATCGAGAATTTTTTTTAAAGTGGTAGCCAAAGTGAGATAAATCTAGAAGATTTAAGCATTCAATGAATATTAAATTTAAAGGAAATAAAAAAAGGTGCAAAACATAAATTGAGAATAATTTATTAGTTGCGTTTATTTAAAACGTAATTACCTTTAGTCTTAAGAAACATTTTCTATTTTTTAACTTAAGAAGACTTTTTTTTACAACTTTTTATATTAATCATAATAAGGGAATTAAATCGTAATTCCAAACAAATACATGTTTGTTTAAATTGTAGAATAACCTAAACTGTTAGGGATTATTTATGGAGTCTTAACAAGTACAATCTTTTAGGCAATGAAATGAATTCTGATAAAATGTATTTCTTTTTTTTCTTATATTTCATAAATCAGATCACTTTTATGAAGATTAAATATGAGACTTAATGCTAATTTTTTTTAAATTCTATTCTTAC